GTGTTAAAAATATATGCATACTAAACATTAAAGTTCTTAAAGTAAAAAACAAAAAAAAAAGGGAAGAGAGTAGTTGGGTGTGGTAGTACACACCTTTAATCCCAACACTTGGGAGGCAGAGGGAGATTGACCTCTGTGACTTCAAGGTGTGGTAGTACACGCCTTTAATCCCAGTGCCTAGAAGGCAGGGACAAACAGATTTCTGTGAGTTCAAGGTGTAGTAGTGTACACCTTTAATCCCAATGCCTGGGAGGCAGTGACAGGTGGATCTCTGAGAGTTCAAGGACAGCCTGGTCTACAGAGTTATTCCAGGTCAAAGATACAGAGAACCTGTCTCAAAAAGCAAAAAATAAAAGTAAAAATAAACAAAATAGAGGTTAAAATAAAGCACACAAAGATGGAAAATACACAGAGAATTTTGATACTATATGCTATTATGCTCTCTTTGAATTATTTGAATGCTGAGGAAAGAGCAACAGCTGCTAAAAGATATTTGTTTATAAATGCTGCTGAACTAATCCAACATAGATATTTTGAAAATGCCTTGACTTTGAAATTTGGATCTAAGGACATGATGCTTTGGAAAGGAGTTTCTTATTTTGTTTTCACAGAGGGTGAGAGTCTGTGGATTGCTTCCATCCCAGTGTGGTATGATAGACCACGTCCTCCTGAAAGGTTGCTGTGAATACCTTCAAAAATTTACTTCACTCAATTGACGACTGAGATGAAACTAGCACACAGGTTATACCATGAAAGACCTAATTAACGACGGTCCCATTCAGCAGGAAGCAGTTTGGAGAGAAAAAACTGTGCCCATGTTCCCAAATATGGTTTATAAACATTCTTTAACATTTAAAGGGGGATATGATATAGATATGAATAATTTGTATTAGTATAGATTTTGCTTTATTGATAGAGATTTAAGGTCAATTTTGTTATATGTATATGTATTTCTGATCTTTATTAAGGTATTGTGATTGTGTAGTTCATTTAAAAATGTAATGTATAATTAAGAAATATAGGTTAATGGATAATCATCAGTAATAGTCAAGCTTGTAGTCATGTTAGTTAGATTTTCTCGATATATAGAGATACATTTCAGTTAGATAGACATTCTTCATATTTTTCAAAGACTGCAGAATATGGCATTTAATGTTTTAATAACTTAGGACTTTTCATGACAATGAGACACTCTGCTCCTGGCAGCACCAATCTACTTCAAGAAGAAGATGGGCATCGAAGAGGATCCTTATGGAGTTTGATAGCCATTTGGGCAAGAAACTTCTCTTGCCTGGACTATTGCATAAACTGGACACAGAGAACCCACAGAGAGAGGACTACTGGACTTGCCTAAAGGTGAGATGATCTTTTGGGGTTCCTGATTCATGAAAGAGTCTGCAAGACATTCTTCAGGACACAACAGATATTGACTGAACTGACTTTGAATTGTCCTGCTTCATGGAAATGTCTCGGGATACCATGGGCTTGTAGGCCGAAGATGGATGTCCCAACGTTACGGAGGAACTTTGGGTGACTGTCCAGGCAGCGAGATGTCTCTGTCATTTCTAGAGTTTGAAAGTTGCTTACTTTTTGTTTACTTAGGTAATATATTCTTCTGGAATCTCTGACGGTGTTGAAGAATAGATAGATAGTTATTGTTGTTTTCCTTAGTTATGATAAAGATAAAATAGATATAAATATTGTAATTTTTACTTGATAACTGTTTTGTTATATGTAATTTTGCTATGTTAAAGTTAAAGCCTTTCCTTTTTGTTTAAACAGAAAAAGGGGAAATGATGGAGGAAGGTCATCGGTTAAGTAATAAAGAAACTGCTTGGCCTCACAGGTTAAAACATAGGTGGGAGGAGTAAACAGAACAGAATGCTGGGAGGAAGAGGAAGTGAGCTCAGAGAGATGCCATGTTCCCCTCTCCTGGGCAGATGCGAGAGCTCTGCTCTCTGAGGCAGATACAATGAACTCCGACCCAGCATGGATGTAGGCTAGAATCTTCCCAGTAAGACTGATGCTACTCAGATTATTAGAGATGGGTTGATCAGGATGTGAGAATTAGCCTAGAAGAGGCTAGATAGAAATGGGTCAAGCAGTGTTTAAATGAATATAGTTTGTGTGTTGTTATTTTGGGCATAAGCTAGCAGGCGACCGGGGTGCTGGGGACACAGCCCTGCTGCTCCTATTACTACAAATATCCTTCATGATTAAAAAAAAGGGGGCTTGGAAAGAACAGAAACATAAGGAACATATAAAGGCAGTATACAGCAAACCAACAGCTAATATCAAACTAAATGGAGAGAAACTCAGTGATTCCACTGAAATCAGGAACAAGACAGTTTTCCACTCTCTCCATATCTATTCAATATAGTACTCGAAGTTCTAGCTAGAGCAATAAGACAACAAAAGAAAATTAAGGGGATACAAATTGGAAAATAAGTCAAACTTTCACTATTTGCTGATGATATAGTATCTTTAAGTGATCCCAAAAATTCTACAAGGGAACTCCTACAACTGATAAAAAAATCTTCAGTAATTTAGCAGTATGCAAGAATCCTCAAAAAATCAGCAGACTTCCTATAAAAAGATGATAAAAGGGCTGAGAAAGAAATCACAGAAATATCACCCTTCACAATAGCCACAAATAACACAAAATATCTTGGAGGTAACTCTAACCAAACAAGTGAAAGACCTGTATGACAAGAACTTTAAATCTTTGAAGAAAGAAATTGAAGAAGACATCAGAAAATGGAAAATGAAAACGTTTCCCATGTTCTTAGATAGGTAGGATTAACATAGTAGAAATGGCAATCTTACCAAAAGTAATCTGCAGATTCAACAAAAACCCCAACAAAATTCTTCAAAGATTTCGAAAGGACAAAACCCAACTCCATATGGAAAAATCAAGAAACCCAGGATGACCAAGAGTCCTGTACAATAAAGAACTTCTGGAGGCAGCACCACGCCTGACTTGAAGCTCTATTCTACAATTATAGTAATGAAAACAGCTTGGTATCAGCACAAAAACAGACAAGTGGACAAATGGAATCAAATCAGAGACACTAATATCAATCCACACATCTATGAACACCTGAATTTTAACAAAGAAGCTAAAATTATAGAGTAGCAAAAAGAAAGCATCTTCAACAAATGGTGCTGGTATAACTGGATATCCACATGTAGAAAAAAGCAAATAATTCCATATCTATCCCCATGCACAAAACTCAAGCCCAAATGGATCCAAGACCTCAACATAAAACCAACCAATCTGAACCTCATAGGAGAAAAAGTGGAAAGTAGCTTTGAACACATTGGCACAGAAGACCACTTCCTAAAAATAACTCCAATAGGACAGACACTGAGAGCAAAAACTAATAAATGGGACCTCCTGAAACCCAGAAGTTACTGTACAGCAAAGGATACAGTCAACAAGACAAAACACAGCCTACTGAATGGGAAAAGATCTCCACCAACCCCACATCTGACAGAGGGCTGATCTCCAAATTATGCAAAGAACTCAAGAAATTAGACATCAAAAGACCAAATAATCCAATTTAAAAAAATGAGGTGGAGAGCTAAACAGAGAACTCTCAACAGAAAAATATCAAATGACTGAAAGACACTTAAGGAAACTCAACATCCTTAGTGATCAGGGAAATGCAAATCAAAACAACTCTGAGATACCAGATAACAGTCAGAGCGAACAAGATCAAAAACTCTGATGACAGCCTATGTTAGAGAGGATGCAGAGTAAGGGAAACACTCCTCCATTGCTGGTAGAAGTAGTCTTGTATAGCCACTTTGGATATCAGTATGGTGATTTCTCAGAAAATTGAGAATCATTCTACCTTGAGACCCAGCAATTCTGCTCTTGGACATATACCCAAAGGATGTTCAATCATACCACATGAACATTTGATCAACCATGTTCATACCAGCAATATTCATAATAGCTAGAACTTGGAAATAACCTAGATGCCCCTCAACCAAAGAAGGAAAATGTGGTACATCTACACAATGGAATACATAGCAGTAAAAAACAACATCTTGAAATTTGCAGGCAAATGGACAGGACTAGAAAAAGCCATCCTGAGTGAGGGAGTTCAGACCCAGAAAGACCAGTCACAACCCTAGAGAACCAAAGTAACAAAGACAGAGATACATTGATCTGCCTAGGAAGGAGAAAAAGACAAGATTTCCTGAGTAAATTGGGAGTGTGGAGGGCAGGGTGGTGGTGGTGGAAGGGGAGGTGGAAAATGTATGGCACATCCTATCCAAATAATTAAAATGATGTAAAAAAAAGTGAGCTGAACACCAGCATTCACCTGTTTTCTGACTGAAGACAGCATATTTCACATTCCTGCTGCTAGACCTTCCCAGCCTTGATGGATTGCTCATCTTTTACACCAGGGGCCAGAATAAACTCTCCTCCCCAAGTTGATCTCTGGTTGGGTATTTTGTTGCAGGAACAAGTAACTAATACAGGAATGAAGCTCAGTGGTAGAACCTTTGCATGACAAAGGTTCAGTCCTCAGCACCAAACACACAACCACATGGGGGGGGGGGGGAGCACGAGCAGAGAGAGAAAGCCTGTTAAATAGCTTTCTGTATTAATTAGTCTTTTTGTGACTTTCTGTACCAGTTTCAATGGTACACCCAGGAATTTGTAAAGCTTTAATTAGATTTAAATAATACACTAAGGTTTATGCTTTTAGCCAAGTACAGCAGTTAGGCAGGACGTAAATCTCCAAACAAGTATTACTCCTGCATTGTTTCCTAGTATGTGTGATATGCTGGTCTGAGTAGTTTACACAAAAACACAATCATTTACTAAATTCTCAAAGTCACCGCATAGGCCACATACTTTTTTTCCCCAAACAGGAAACAAAAGTAAAATAAAATAATTTGCCCAAGGTGAGTGTCGCAGGCTTTCTATGGCTGTGATAAAACATATAAAATATCATGAGCAAAAGTAACTTGAAGAGGAAATAGTTTATTTCAATTTACAGTTCCACATCACATAGTACATTACTGAGGGAAGTAAGAGCAACAGGACAGGAACTAGAGACAGGAGCTGGAGCAGAGGCAGAGGCCACAGGAGTGGTATTTACTGATTTGCTCAGCATGTTTTCTTACAGCACTCAGGGCTACTAGCCCAGTGGTGGCATCACCCACAGAGCTGAATTGTCCATCAAACACCTATCAAGAAAGTGCACCATGGGCTTACCCACAGACAAACCAGGAAAGGGCATTTTCTGAATTGGGGTTCCTTCTACTAAAGAAGACTCTATCTTGTGTCAAGTTCACACAGAACTAGCCGACAGAATTGGCTGTGTTTTACAAGAGACCAGAGCCACTAATGTTAAATCTTTTGTTTTGCTCTGACAGTTTATACTAGTCAACTGAAGTTGAGAAATCAGCAGTGATTAAGAAGAGACTGACATCACTGACGTGAAATCTTTCCTCTGGATCAGCACACAGAAGCTGGTTCCAGAGCCATCCAGGAATGTATCATGTGCTGTTAGCTGATGTTGATAGTGTAAGGGTCACTCACTGGTACTGGTTTTAAAGGCATGAAATGTTCATGGAGAGCCGCTGAGTCTTGGTGCCGTGTGGTAGGGATACAAACCCTAAGGAAAGTCCATTGGCCAAGATACAGATACAACTTAGTTGCTATAGACCCAGGTAGAGGGCTCATGGAGAGAAATGGAGGCCTGGCACTATGTGAAAGAGTTAAAGTCCTTGAGGACAGGCCATGAAAGGCTACCGACAAAGATACAGGCCATTTGTAGAGACCCCAGGATTTTGGAGATGTCAGTACCATGGGATGACCACCAAAAACTTGCTAGAGCAGAGTCAGCTTGAACCTATGAGACAAGCTGTGTGTGCTGTAGATTAGGCAATAAAGTTCATCAAGATAATCCCTCACAGGCTTTCCCTGAAGCCTATATGTGACACTGAAAAATGAGACAGAATATCACAAGAATGGTACAATGCAAAACTCTCTACTAGGTTATAGTCACACGTGACACAATGTAATTTTCCCCCTCTGCAGAATATTAACTGAAACTTTTGAGGGCAATTTGTAGACACACTTAACTGATTCTACAACAGACATAGTAATAAAGTTCAAATCAGCAAGTACCTTGGTCCTGTTAACGTTCCTAAAAATTATGCCTTAGCATTGCTGTGTTTTCTGCTTGAACCATATCATCACTAGTATAAAATCTTAATTCTAAATAAATTTCTCTCAAAAAAATCCTAATGAAACAAAATATGTCATGTGTAAGTTTAAAGAGTTTTCTATGTTTTAAATGTGCTTGCTGGGTCAGTAAACTGCTGCCAAGCCTGATGACCTGAAGTGATCTCCAGTCTCAGCAGGTTAAGGACACTTGCTGCCAAGCCTGATGACCTGAAGTGATCTCCAGTCTCACATAAAAAAGACCAACTCCTGCTAGTTGTTCTCGGACCTCCACATGAAAACACACACAAAATATAAAAAATATTTTTAATGTTTCTTTCGAAAAAGAAAAAGACTATTGAGGCTAGGGAAGCGACTGAGTGGGTAAGAGTACTGCTGTGCAAATGTGACAACCTGAGTTGGATCCATAGCATTCACATTAAAAAAAATATATCAATGCTCCTTAATATTGTGTTAAAGAAAATGCACCTACCCCAAAGCCAAATGTGTGGAGTAATAATTTGTATGCACATGTTTGTTCTCCCCTGTGTAATATACATCCCACAACACAGGTTTCAGAACTGACATTAAAGAAGTCAGGAACTGGCTCAGAGGCTAGAGGGCCTGCAGACTGAACATAAGGTCCCAAGTGTGGTCCTCAGCACCCACGTGAAAAGCCATGCTGGTACGCTCCTGCTGTGTGAGCATACTGTCCCAAGTGTGGGTCCCCAGCACCAGTGTGAAAGGCCATGTTAGTATGCTCCCGCTGTGTGAGCATACGGTCCCATGTGTAGGTTCAGCACCTGTGTGAAAAGCCATGTTGGTAGCTCCTGAAATCCCAGGGCTCACAGGCAGAGTCAGGAAGACACTCCTGACCAAACAGTGAGCTCCAGACTCAGTGAGACCTTTGTTATCTAACGTAAGATAGAGGGGTGAAAGTGGAAGACACCCATACATACACCACACATGTGTAGACCACAAAAAGGCTTTCTATTAAAATTTTTGAAAAAGATTATCTTGGTAAGAGAAACTCAACGGGCCAAGAAAAGCTTTTATAATAACTATGTTTAGCCTTCTTTGTGAGTCAAACAGCAGGTAAATTTATAATTATTGTAAAGGAAGTGATACAGCAACTTAGATCTAAGTGAGATTCCACAACCAAATGTCCATAGTCCAAAATAAATAAGAGACTCACTGCCAGGCATATCAGAACCCTCCAGGGATTGGCTACCAATGAAAACTGCTGCAAAGTCAGTGACTGAGCAAAGTTTTGTGTTTTGTTGGTTTTTTAATCATAAAATAATGGCTTTAATGGTGTATTTTAAATAATTTTAAACATCTGATCACTAAGATTACACAAATGTGGAAGCACATTGTACTTTACAAAAAATAAAGCTAAGCATTTAAATATACAAAACAACTTTGGATATAGATTTCTTGTTAAGTTACTTTTTTAACATATACATAATTTATGACATTTTACATAACATGCTAAAACAAAAACTGTGGCCAATTAAACTCTTATAACAATATAGAATATGGCCATAACAGATACTGCGGGAAGAACAGAATGTATAGTGATAAACTAGAGGTGTTCCCCCTGGATCTCTCCCCTAGTATTTTCCTTTAATTATCTTCTGGGAGGACGGTGTGACATTCTTTTGGTATGTGATTTCAATTCCACTATTATTTTTTTGTCAGCTATAATTTACATAGGTAGATTTAAAAAAGAGGGGAGGTGTCTTGAGTATCGGATTCCTCCGTGCAGAGTGGTACATAATGTGTTGCTCACAGAGCCACAAGCCCAAGGGTGAAACACTGAAAGCACCTCTAAGACAACCGAAGGGTGTCCTAGAATGTTCTTGCCAGCAGTTAGAGGTTTTGAAAAGCACTAGATGCTTAAAACATACAAAAGAGAGAAAGAACTCCATCTTGGGAAATAAGATAATACAAAAAAAAAAAAAGGCATCTTTTGAAATACTGTAACTAAATGTTTGCCAGGTTTTCTTCTTTGATTGACCTATGATTTCCTCTCTCTCTTTCTTTTCTTTTCTGTTTTTTTGGCCATCACCAAAACAAGAACCAGCTTTGTCATTCCAAGTGCAGTCACCCTCCTTGGGCACATGGTATGCCTATCTGTTTCATATTGCCATTTTCATTTTTCCCTTGTCAATTTGAATGCAAGGCCTCATATTCCTTCTAGTATTTTCTAGTTTTTCCATTTTTCAGTGAGGTATATCAGTAGCAACTCAGCTTTGAAACTTAGCTGACAAGGATGCCTCACTAGGTATCATAAACAGTACAGTGTGGGGAGCCAGAGAGAAGCAACCTCAGGCACAAATGGTCCCATCAGCTGTGTTTGTAATTCTAGCTCAGCTAATCCAAGTCAAGAGTGACCCTATGCTGTGGCTTGCCACATGTTGACTTCAGAAGGTACCTGTCACAGTTAGCTACCTAACTTCTAATTGCAGACATGAAATCTAATACTAGGAGACAGGTTCAGTATAGGATATATTCTGATGCTTCCTTTCTCCTACATCTAGATGCAGTCTGTATCAGAGAGGGGTACCTTATTGCTATGGTGTGAAAACACAAAACAAACAGAAAACGGAGACGATAAGAGGGAGTCCCTAGCTGCTGTAATTGAATTCAGGTGGGTAGGTGATACTTCTATATAAAGTATACTTTATATACTTATATATAAAGTATACTCTAAAGTACTGACTTTCAGAAAGCATCTGAATTCTCATCTGCAAAAACCCACAGGACATACGGACAAAATGTAGTTTAAAAAAAGAAAAAAGAAAGCGCGAGCTTGTCGGTGTAAACAGTGGTCTTCCAAACTGGTGACTGTTTTCCAGAGATTTCAGGACAGTGCAACAGTGCTCTCTAGATCTTCTTTGGCAGTAAACAGTGAGCGTCTGGATGGATGGACAGAAGGATGGAAGGATGGATGGATGGATGGATGGATGGATGGAGTGATCACTTCAGAAGGGCAAGGTATAGGGCCCGAGAATACTTCATCTCTCTTTCCTGTTCCATACAGAATATCAAGTCCCTGAGGCAGATTCTTGTGATTCTTGGTCGAAGCAATGGTTTGGTGGCTATTAGGCTGGACGTCCCAGAAGCAGAAGGGTTATCTTTGAAGCCCTAAACAGGTATAGGGGAAAGGGGAGGGGGGAAAGATAAAATTAGTTTAAAATAAAAATTCTCATAAAGGAAAACCTGTTTCTTGTGGCACATAGGAGCCCACTGTCCATTGGGAAGGTATTATGGAAGGTTAAACCCATTGAGGTCATGACATCATTTACTTCTCTCTCCTGGCCTGGCAGGAAATGGTTTGATTTCTTTGAATAAAATGATTTCTTCTTTTCTAGGTGCTCCTTGCTCTACTCTCCTGCCCATCCCACTCAAAAGATTTTACAAAAAAACTTCAAAGTGATGGATAAATTTATTTTGATCCTGGGGCTGATGAAGAATTACATATACATAAAAATCCATTGCCTCAAAGGACAGCAGTTTTTTGTGCATCAATAGTAAAAATAAACATAAGAAAAGCCCATTGTGGTTCAAATTTCATCATGCCACAGTACCAAAAAATTCTTAATAGCTCTCCAGTAGCTATTTATTTGTTTCCTTTCTTTCATACAACATTGCAGCAAAATGAGTGAGGGCAGTTTCTATTTCTCAGACAAGACAGGAAAATGACTTTAGCCTTAGTCATATGTTCTGAATCTCACAGCAAAAGAGTAATAGGTCTCAATTTTTAATTTGATATGAAGTTAGTCATTGTGTTATGTTGTATTATTGGTGGTGCCAGGTAAGCACTCACCATTCTGGTTGCCTCCAAGCATACACTTCCCACTCTTTTACAAAGAACCTTAGCTACATGTTTCTCTGCAAGAGGATGTTTCCATACCATCACTAACCTGCCAGACCAAAAGCTCTCTAAGCACAATGACTATTATTTTTAGCCCCTCCAGAACTTGTCAAATCGTGAACAAACAGCATGAGTATCTATAGTATTTTCTTTTGGAAAAGGGTCTCTCTATTTAGCTCCGGTTGGCCTGGAACTCACTGTGTAGTTAAGCCAGCCTCAAACTCAAGAGATCTACTTGCCTCTTGCTCTGAAGTGCTGGCATTAAAAGCAATGTACTACCATACCCAGCGTAATATTTTCTTAACTGATTTTACTGACTATGAATACAACAACCAATATAAGTTTCAAGTTCATCCAAGAATAAACTGAAACCCAGTATTCCTGCATTAAGACCATTTCCTGAACACTGACATCTATGCACTATTACGTTAAATTATTTATTTATTATTATTATTATTATTTTGTGAATTATGATGTGGGGCTGGGGGGAGGCATATGCATGCTATGGCGTGGATGTGGAGACCAGAGAACAACTCTGTAGAGCTGGTTATCTCCTATATTTATATGGGTTCTAGGAATTAAACTCAGGTTGTCAAGCATTTGTGGCAAGTACTCTATCCACTGAGCCATCTCAATGTCACCAATAAATAATAAATAAATAAATAAATAAATAAATAAATAAATAAATAAATGAAGACAATCAACAGTTTTACCCAGCTATGACATTTATGAACCACATAGGCAACCAGAATGGCATGATTATCCTTTGGGTGCAGTACTGCCATGGTATGCATATCTCTAATTAGACTTAAGACCCACTCAACAAGAGGCACACCATGCCTGGTACTGGAGAGCTAGCTAACTATTCAGTACTAGTGAAATCCTGGTTACTGGAGGAAAATCGACAATCATAATTTTACTAAACTAACATATTTCCTAACCATAATCCATTACGCATTTGTCCTTATACCAAGAGATAAGAGTAGTCTTTAACCCTGACCAAGGAAGCCTCTCTTTGTAACAGCCAGAGACCATTAAAGAAAACTACAACCAATAAAAATGCAGAGTTGCAAAGTCCTGTTCTGACCTACATCCACAATACAACTGCAGCTCCACCCAAGGCTCAGAGATCATTTCAGAAGAGGGATTAAGTTTGCTGTGAGTTTGAGTCTTCTATTAATATCAGAAGCTACACATATAAAGTCTCACCAACATGACCACACAAATGTGAAGGAGCAAGACACCAATGGACATGCCAAACTGAATAGGGAAAGCCCATGAGGCCTCAACCCAATATAAAGAACTATAAGCAACTGAGGAAAGGGCACAGCAATTAGTTGTCCAGTGCCAAACGTTCAGCCTTGAAAAAAATATATACAAGTAATATATGAATTCAACAGGCTATATTCAGAAAGACATATAATATATATTATACACAATATAATATACGTTTTATATGACATATAAAAATACACACACACACACACACACACACACACACACACACACGTATACACACACGTGGATCTGAGTTTGAGGCCAGCCTGTTCTACAGAGCAAGTTCCATGATAGCCAGAGCTACACAGAGAAACCCTGCCTCAATAAACCAAAATAAATAGAAGAATAAATAAAATAAAAATAAATTTAAGAGAAATTTAAATTATTATTATTGTGCATGTGTGTATATTATATATGAGTGCTGGTGGACACATACCACATGCAGTGTACAGATGTCAAAGGACAACTTTGAGGAGTAGGTTCTCTCCTTCTACCATGGATTCCAGGGATCAAACTACAGTTATTGAACTTGCACAGTAAGCACTTTTACCCACTGAATAATCTTGCTTGACCCAAACAAAGAATTACTTTAAAGGATAATTGTATAAAAGTAAAACTCTTGATTTCACTTTACGTGTGTTGGGGAGGGTATTTTAGTCAGAATTCCAGGTTACGGTCCATCATAGCAAAGAAGCCACAGCAGCAGGGCCTTTAGAAAAACGGGCATAGTATATCTGCAGACAGAAGAGAGTCACAGATATGTCCATGCTTTCACTCAGCTCGCACTAAGCATTATACTCTTGCAAAGTTCAGGATCCCTATAGTAGGGAATGACGATGCCCACATTGAGATCTAATCTTCAATAACATTATCAAAATAATCTTGCACAGACAGGTCAAGTTAATCTAGACAATTATTCGTTGAGACTCTCCAGATCATATAAATCTTTTGCCTTTCATTTTATTTTAGAACTATATTCTGTTTTGAAAAGTATCTTCAGGGCTGGCGAGATGGCTCAGTGGTAAAGGTACATTCAGCATAAGCCTGGAGACCCGTGTTTGATCCCTGAAATCCATGTAAAGGCAGAAGAAAACTGACTCCAGAAAGTTTTCTTGTGAAAACCAACACACATGTGTAACATGAAGGGGCCAGGCCTGCTTGTTTGGGTTTCTGTCCCGCCTGGTACCCCACAACTGTTTAGCTCCAAAGAAAAATCACACATAGATCTCGATAAGTTATAAAGCTGATTGGCCCATTAGCTCTAGACTCTCACTGGCTAACTCTCACATCTTGACTAACCCATTTTTCTGATCTATGTTTGCCATGTGGCTCAGTACCTTTTCTCAGTGAGGCAGATCACATCCTGCTGCTTCTGGGCAGGAATAGGAGGAATCAACTTCCTCCTTCCCAGAATTCTCCTGTTCTCATTACATCATTTCTACTTCCTGTCTGCTTTTCCCACCTATATTTCCTGCCTGGCCAATCAGCGTTTATTTATAACATGATTGACAGAATACAGACAATTCTCCCACATCGCACATGCATCATAAATGCATGCATACATAACAATAAATTAATTTTGTAAAATGTCAAAGTAAAAAGAAAAACATTTTGATCGGATTGGCAACTCTGCTTCATCCTCTCAAACTTACACAAAGGTACTTAGGTAACATGGGAATCAAATCTTCTCATTCTGTTTTAATAATACTGGATATTAATTATTCCCATCACAATTTTGGTTTGTTTGACAGTGCAGGGCATGGTGTGTAAAGTCAACAAAATACCACAATCAAATCAGTCAACGTAATTTAATGCACATTCATGGCATGACTTTGGGGAGGCTTTATCTAGCCAAACACATTTTCTTCTAACACATTCAATTTTTGAGGGCTATACCATCTTAACCACATCTTTTCTCCCATTACGTTAATCTTGTTCATAGGACAGTCCATAAAGAAAAAGGATTGTTCTCTACACCACCTACAGTTCAGAGCTCTGACAGGTACAGAACATGATCTGTCCATTCCAAGTACTGAGCTATGATCAAATAAGCATGGGAGTCCAGAGTGAGTTATCTGGTGTCTTTCTTCTCTGCAAGTCTTGCTACTCAGGTGTGCAATAGATGACATCTTACTACTGCCAATTATTACTGACAGCCAAAGAAACCCACCCAAACTCTGAAACCTGAGCCAGTGAAAAAAAGAAAATGACTGTCCAACCTCGTCCAGACAAGATAGGACAGTCCTTCTAAAACCCTGCTTCATAGAAAAGTCTGTCAGTTATTCTAGATGTGTAGGTCAAAGGTGGACACTCCAAATGTTGCAGAGAACTATGGGTGACTGTCCAGGCAGTCAGCTGTTTCTGTCATTTCTTACATTCTTTGGAAGTTGCTTGTTTGCACTTCCTGCTTACTTAGTTAATATTATTTCCTTCTAGGGTCTCTGAGGTAGCTGAAGACTAGATAGTTATAGTTATTTCCTTGTTTACATGACTCAGGAAAGAAATTCACTAAAGCAATATAAAGTATACAAGGTTGAGAAATATCAAAATATAGTTTTATATGGTAATACAAGTTGTGGTAGAAAATAAATTAGGTACAATTCTTTGGATTTACCAAGATCAGATAGATAATAGAGTAATTTCTCTGAATTTGTCAAATACAAATGGAGAAGACATTGTTGATGTACTTATTGCCTGTATATAGTTATTTTACTTAATGTATATAGTTTTTATTAGTTATAGCATTTTTTATGTTAGACAAAAGGAAAATATAGTGATATTTATTTATGTTTTAACAAATAAAGCTTTCCTGAAAACCAGAGGGCAAAACTAAGCCACTAGAGGTCAGGCAGTGGTGGCACAGGATTTAGAAGACAGAAGCAAATGGATCTTTGTGAGTTCAAGCCCACCCTGCACTACACAAGATCAATGCAGAAACAGATCCAGGTGGTGGTGAAGCACACATTTAATCTCAGTACTAGGGAGTCATACG